AGGGTTTCAGTCAGGGAACTGTTAATTAGCAGCTACTTGCTGCTCTAAGTTACACTCAGTGACCTTAAGGGGATTCTGGCCTCCAAATTAGGCCAGCTTAGAAATATCCTCGCTTGTTGCTACTTCCTTCTGTGCCTGGTTCCAAAGCTGAGAACTCTCATACGGTCTCCTGTTTTCATCTGGTCTACACTTTCCCTTGCACCGCACACACTTCGGAGGGAAGGAGTGTGTGAGTCCAGCAAGAAGGGGATCCAGGCAGACTCCAGACTCCAGGCCTGTGCTAGAGAGGCAGGTAGAAGTTATGCCATCATGACTCTGAGCTGCCATTGTTTAAAGCTGCACATAGTTCTCAATGAGGGCCGGGCCACTCAGAGCGAAATAGCTTCTTTTGAAGCTCAATTCTAAGTTGGGTCAGGGCAGTAGCTCAGAACAAGCGGATCATTTTCACGACCCATTCTGCTTCCAAATAAATCTGCAGAAGATTCCCTGGAAAAGACCCTGATGTTGGGAAAGTGTGAAGGCAAGAGGAGAAAGGGACGACAGAGGATGAGATGGCTGGACAGTGTCATCGAAGCGACCAACATGAATTTGGCCCAACTCTGGGAGGCAGTGGAAGACAGGAGGGCCTGGCGTGCTCTGGTCCATGGGGCCACGAAGAGTCAGACACGACTTAACGACTAAAGAACAACAAAGAAAGAATAATAGTAGTAAAAACTCCAGGAAAATTAGTGTTTAAATATATATTTAGATTGGAGCATTGAAAGGTTATTTCTGGAAACTGTTACCCAAAATTATTATTTTTTTAAACTTTTTCCACTTCTCATTTAGATATACATTTTTGCACGCATTGGCTGGAATCCTACTAGCAATTTACTTTCACTTAAGTGGAAATATATGACTCACAGCAGCACATGGCCACTTGTGAATGAGATGACCAGAGACATTCCTGGTTGCATGCAGACAGATTCAGGACAAGGAATGAAACCAACCAGCAGCTCCCTAGAGAGGGGCAGTTTGCTACTACATCTTACGCAATGGCACTTACACATGTGCCTATGGGATTCTGGTCATTTGCTCTTGAGTTGTGTATTGCAAAATATATTTAGCCTGAAAGGTGATAGTAAAGTGTGCTGCTTTAGTGGAAATTGTAGCTGGCTGGTTATCTCAGTGGTTTAGATCTCTGGCTGCAGAGCCAGAGGTTGGGAGTTCGATTCCCCACTTGTGCCTCCTGAGAGAAGAGCCAGCCTGGGTGGCCTTGGGCCAGCTGCACAGTCCCAGGGGGGCCCCTAGTGGAAGGGAAGGGTAAAGCATTTCTGAGTATTCTGTACCTAGAAAACCCTGAAAAGGGTCGCCATAAGTCAGAATTGACTTGAGGGCACATGGTTATTATTTATTAGTGGAAATTCAAATAATGGTTGCTATTTAATCCTAGCAAATGCTTATTTATAAATTGCCTGCCACACATAACAAGAGAAAGCCTCTCTTGGACTCTTGTGCTGTTCCAGCTGCACTGTTAATTGATCCTTATACCTGAAACAAAACATTATCAGATTGATTAATGGATTTGCAAGAGAGGAATTGTCTCCTATTAGCATTAGACCATGAAGCCACAGTAGATAAAGGGCAACCCTTCACAGAATAATTGAATTGGAAAGGGCCTAGAAGGCCATGGTGTCCAACCTCATGATCAGTGCAGGAATCCAAACCAAAGCAGAGGGTTGCCCAATCTCCTCTTGAAGGCCTCCAGTATTGGAGCGCTCACCGCCTCTCAAGGTCATGGGTTTCATTGTCATACTTCTCTAACAGGTAAGAGGCTTTTCCTGAGATTCAGCCTAAATCTGGCCTCAGATGTGGTTGGACTGCAGCTCCAAGCATCCTTGACAGTTGACCGTGCTAGCTATGGCTGATGGGAGTTGTAGTCCAACCGGAATCCTCTTGCAAAGGACACAGATCTATCTACATGAGCGCAACGTCCCCAAATTTCTACACAGAGCTGCCAACGTACCAATAAGGATCAGGACTTAAGAAGAAATGCTAAGCAACTCTCAACACAATCTGGGAGTTTGCTGCGGCTCCTTCCGTTGTGTATAAGCAGTTTCCCCGTCTCTGCCCTGTCCTTGTTAGAGGTCTTTATTTTTAAACCAGGCACAAACTGGGCAGCCCTTCAAGCCGAAACTGCTTCCAAAGGGTTGTCCTCAGGCAGCCTTCAAAGAGAGGAGTGATTTACAGAAACAAGGTCACCCCCACCATCTTACTCTGCAGAATTTCCATTTGTATGATGTCATGATACAAATGAGAGTTGGCTTAAAAAAAGCAAAAAAAGGTTCCCCTTTTGGTGCAAATGAATCGCCTGATCTTAGATACCCAAGAAATGCCACAGTTTTCCCATCAGACTGGAAGATTCACATCTTTTAGAAATCTCCCGCGGTTGGCCTGAAAGCAGGGAGGAGCAACTCCCATCCCTAGTGGCTGTACTAGCTTGGGGAGGGTGAGTGGGCTCTTTTATGTTCTTGGAGGGCTCTGGGAATCCCCCAAGCAAAATTCTGGGAGTTGCAGCCCACAAACACATGACCACCGACCTCTAGATCTCACCCTTTCGAAAGGGGCTTATTTGCATCTGGCCCCTTTCCTTCGATCTGCTCCTTACTCTGCAATGCTTTGTGGGAGTCGTAGCTCTTCAGGGAGCGCCCTCTACACTGCCTAATGGGCCGTGAGACTATGACTCCCAGAAAGCACCACAGGGAAGGCAGCTGACGGTGGGAATGCAGCAATGTTGAAGGGAAAAACTAGAGGTCTGCAGGTTTGTTGTTCAGCCTAGGGAATATCTGGAGAATTCGTGGTGGTTGAAGTCCAACAATACCAAAGAGCACACCCCTAATGCTGACTAAAGCCGATGGCAGCTGTCATCCAAGAACATCTGGAGGGCCATACATTATCCGTCTCATGCCCTTCTATATGCATTGCCTCACCTTAGACCCCATCACCTTAAGATAATAATCTGAGAACAGCAGAGCTGGAAGGGACCCTACAGATCATGAAGTCCAGCCCCTGCCAAAGAGGCTAAGTGGGGGATTCGAACTCCCAACCTCTGGTTTTGCAGCCAGAGACCTCAACCACCGAGCTATCCAGCAGTGCCTATCATGTCCTACTTGCTCCTATCGCTTAAGGTTGTGGCGTCTTCTTAGGGGCAGGTTCAGAGGGTGTGAGTGGAGCATTCGACTCTGATGGGTTCCCCTGCCAGAGGTACAGAGGTTCTCAAAGTTATGGTCCAAAAAGTGATTTTCCAAGTTCAGGTCCCTCTGAATTTTCTCCTCCTATTGGTCCCAGCCTACGGGTACCAGATTTTAAAAACACAAGAAGGGCAAACGAGGGGAAGGGGAAGAAAACCGGCCTTCTCTAGTTCATCTGTTTCTACCCATCCCATAATTTTACCTATACAGCCTTCTCTTTCAGCTGCCTAGGAATTGAAGTCATTTGTTCTGCTGGGGGCCAGAGAGAGAGAGAGAAAAAAGAATCATGAGACAGGTGCAGTTTTTCATAATCTTCTTAGAAACTCATTTTTTAAAAAAATGCCAAGTCCACCCTGCCTTTTAGGGAAACCTTTGGAAGCTTCCTAGTTGATCCTAAAGGAAATGTGGGGATCTGGCCCACCTCTGTTGGGAGCATCTTGCATGGGAAACAACCTGTCAGCATTCGCTGTCATCCTTGCATAGCCAGAAAAAAACAACAGATCTCTGCTTGTTTTTCAAATGTCCTTGCAGCAGTGGATGGGCACATAATGCCAAGAGAGTGCCATATCCAGCTATCTAAAGCATGGCAGAGAGGAGGCCTTGGGCAGGAATCCCTGGCATGAGAATAAGGACAACTACACACAAACACACACACACACACACACCCTGATAACCTCTGAGATATTGGAGAACACAAGCCAATTCACCAGCTGGCTTCTCCTGCTACGCAGGGTTATGCCTCCTGAAGATTATTATTATTATTTTTTTTTTTTTGCTGAAGTGAAGCCTCAGGGAAGAGCCTCTCACCTGATCGAGCATCTTCTATAATCCCAATGTTTTGAAAGCACAGGTTAGTCCTAACAGATTGTGTTATTTTATTTATGACCAATGCTGTTCAGGGCGACATCTGTGCTCATCTTAGTTCCAGTGAGACATGCAGAAATCTCCTGTGTGTTGAACTCTGTGTTATAAAGGAATGGGGAAATTAACCATTGCTTGTACACCCCTGGGGATTCCACCACCCCCCTCTTATAAACGGAATCTTTTTTCCCCCATGGAGTGATTCAATTTTGAGGAATGCTCATTTAGAACCCATTAGTTCAGCCAGCAGCTCAGTGAGAGGCTTCAGATAAACCAGTTTATCTCAGCCCTCGGTGTTCCTCACCTGTAAAATGGGAATAATTTCTTCCCTGCCCCAAAGGCCTGGTAGGAACACAAGCAGATATAGATTACTGGTATGTAAAGAATGCAATGTTGAAAAAGTTGAAAATGTGAATTTCTTATTCTCTAGGTTGACTGCTTGTGTATATAATGAGGACTCAGAAGAACAACAATGAAACTCAAGGCTAAGAGAAAATCAGCAAAAGCCAGCTATGATATCTGATCTCAGATGTATCTCAGATGTGTCATGGATGCTTTTCAGCCTCAGAAGGAACTTTGCACATGTTTAGGATTACAAATCTCAATTCTTGCATGATTTTCAAGGTGGAGACCTAAGATGTGAAATAGTTTCTAAGAGTATGCCCTCCTTGAATAAGCTGCATTTAGGGTTAGCTTCAGGGTTGCATGCTATTTAAACAAAAATGTAAATTGTAAATTATTATTTTAGCTTATTGTAGCTCAGAAATATCCCTAACATTTTGCTCTAGCATGCCAAGTCAGATTAGACATAACCCCCCCGCCAAAAAAAAGACAGGGAAAGGGAGACAGAAGGATCACAGATATTTTTGCAAACCTGCTCCTGTTCAAGTAAAATGTTCCAAACTGAGAGCAATTTAAATTGACTTTATAATTTATTTGCTTCACAAATTAGCATATGTAATAAATTAATGCCTGCATGTAGCATCACTGTCAAATATCAACATAGTTTGTCGCCTGTTAAATTCACAACCTTAGTTTCGGTGATGGCAAAGATAATAATTAAACAGGCTTTTTGATCTAAAGAGAGCCGAATGTCCCAGAGAGACTTTCACAGTTCCGTGAAACAAGGAAGGAATGTCCTCCTTTAAACAGCAGCACTAACAAGCAAAAACTTTGGGGCAATTAGCTTCAGAATCAGAGAAGACATGCGCTGGCTTCCATCATATCTGGAATGAAAGTTTTCTCCCTGAAGCATGTGCGCCTTCAGCGCATAGATGACGAGCATTTCTACTAGCACATTTTAAACAAATGCAAATAGACAAGTCACGGATCGCTCGTTAATCCTTTTCCATCCCCGCAAACAACAGAGAGGCTTAGGGAAGGCTTTATGCAGTCAATAAACGAATATCAGGAAAAGACTCCTCAGAGAGTCAGTGACACAGTCCAAGAGGAAACATATGTTCGCCACTGGTCGGCTTGTCTGTGCTCGAGTCCTAAGCCGAACTTGAAAAGGTATGCCTGGCCACGTGGCCATGTCCCTTGCCTTCCCTTGGTGGGACTCAGGGTCCTGCAGCCTTGATGACCCACTGGCCCACCTCGAGAGCTGCCTTGGCAAGCTCAAGCCATCAGACGGAGTGGATAGTTCTGGAGTGTCTGGAAATGGGGCACAGCACCCATGGCTGATTCTCCCCAGCAGTTTCCACCCTCCTGTTGTCGCAGCCGGCGGTGTGATACTTTCCTGCAACAAACGACGAGTCTGGATGAAGAGTGGGCTCAGATGACGCCTTCAGTGGACTTTGATGGAGTGTTTTCCGAACCTCAGGAACTGGAAAAGCTTCTCCCTCGTCCGTTGCTTCAAAGCCATGAGGGATTTGGCTTTCTCTTCCAACTCCTGGTCAGTGGCCAGGATGATTTTGGCCCGTTCTTCTGCTTTCCGGTCCCCCGATTTCTTGAAGAGCTTCTCCAGGGAGTCTTGGTCCATGCTCTCGAAGATGTTGGCCACCGCTTTCTTGCGCAGGGCCGTATCAAAGTGATAGCCGTGGACAGAAGGGCTGACTCTCAAGGAGGTCGACATGGCTGGTGCAAAGCTGACGGTCTCTCCCAGCTTCTGCTTTCTGCTTTGGAGTGCTCGCCTTCAGCCCGGGGAACCCTCAGAGAACTCCTGGCTACCGCAACACTATTTAAAGACGCTTCAGAGTGAAAAGCCGGAAGCTCAAGTTACAGTGGTGACATCAAAAGGAGATCAACGCCCAGTGGCCACGGGCCAGATTAACAGTTACATTCCCAGATCTCTTGGCTCTTGATGGAACTAACAAATGCAGCTCCCTCTTTCAAAGTTATCTTGCCAGCAGCACACACACAAACTTTTGCAAAAAAGTATTCTGCGGTGAGAGAGAAAGGAAGGCATGGATTCCTTTTCACATACAAGTGACTGGTTTGAAGCGGGTTTGGTTTCTTGATTTCCTCGGTCTGTTTCAGAGTAGTCAGTGTGAAGGCACCAAACCAAATCAGTCCTGAGGCACATGAGAATAATTGTTTGAAAAGACACAAAAGGGATCACGCTTCTGTTTCTGACCCCTTTTTCTGAACATCAGTAGATAAAATACATTTGCAAATGCCACTGAAATTAAGGAGAGTTTAATCCGTCTGTTTCTGATTTGTGATACAGATTTTTTTTGTAACCCACACACCTCCATTTGAGCTTTAAGTGACCCATAAATTTATTCCTTTTTTTTTCATTTTAGCTTCATTCTGCAGTTAAAAAAAAACATGTGTGAAGATTTGGATACCTCAGTGGTCTAGGCATCTGACTGGAGCCTGAGGTTGGGAGTTCGAATTCCCCACTGGGCCTCCTTGACAGAGGCTGGACTGGATGATTCTCGGGGTCCCTTCCAGCTCTGCATTTCTAAGATTATTCACATTTATATACTGTTTCTCATCATCATCAATAGAAGTGGTATTTACGCTATAGCCCATTTTCCTTCCTGTGGATTCAAGGCCATGCACATGGGTTTCCTTCTGACTACTTTTTCCTCACAACAACCCTGTGAGGTAAATAGGGCTGAGGCAGCTGTGCTCCAGTACCCACAGATAGAATAACAACTCAGAGAAATATTCTCCATGTCTAAGAGCTGGAAACAGCATCCACCAGTGACTGGGGCCACAGCCTTGTAACTAGAAAGGAACTAATCAGTTACAGTGCAAAAGAGAGTGAAGTAGTCTTACACTGAAATTATAATCCTAACAGCTGAAATTCTGGTCTGTCACTTACGCTACAATAAGGCTGATGATGCCTTCAGCCCTAGAGATTTTCCAGAAATATAAAATTTCTGATTCCAGCCCCGAATTTCTGAGATTCTCCGAGGATTCCTTTCCTTGTGGGGAGGCCATTAGGGGCCACAGGACCGGAGGAAGTAATTCCCCAAAATCACCACTATAGATAAAATCTGCCAGCAATAAGATAGTTATTAACTAGTTATAATTAGTTATTCCAGCATTACTCAGTTACTGTGGCTCTTGCTATGTCTGCAAATTCATTTCCAGCATTTAGCAACCCTGTGGATTAGTGAACTTCAAACAGATGCACTGAGATCTCAAAAATTCAAAGATGTGTCATGTTAGGATCTTAAATCATCATCATCATCACAGAATTGGAAGGGACCCTACGGATCATTGAGATCATTGTCTAGGTGGCGCGGTGGGGATTTGAACTCCCAACCTCTGGCTCCATAGCCAGATACCTAAACCACTGGGAAACAAATTCATTGCTATTTATTTATTTCCAATCATTTCTATCAAGTTATTTCCAAGCTCTGGCTTGGTTTTGGCTCACGCGGACCCACTCTTTTCCTTTTCTTTTTGTATTGCCACCGGCACGAAGTCTACATGTATCCTCTCCAGTGACGCCAATCTGAGGGAGGATTCTCCCGAAGCTGCTGGCTTGGAGACAATTCATCCCATAGAATGGTCAGCAATAGGAAGCCCTTTGCACGGACTCTGCACACTTCCCGTACATCCTCACCCGGCCTTGCAAAAGGCGTGAAACTGCCCAGGCGCCAACACCACGGCTGGAACCTTTACAAGGACGCTTGTGAGGACCGGGCAGGTCGTGGGGTGGATAACCCGAGCAGATGGACAGCCGCTGGGCTGAGCAGTGTGTCTGTTTCCTGGCATTCATATTCTGAGGCTTAACAGAGAGTTCCTAACAATGGAACGTGGGCAGGCGGACTCCTTGGCTGTCGCCAGACTCTTCGGCTTCCTCTGAGGCCCAAGCGGGGCCTGGGGTTTGTAATTTTTCCCTGGGAGGTTCAACGTTTGGGCACAGTCAAAAGTTCTTCATTTTTTGTAACCATTGTTCCATCCTTCCCTTCTGTTCATTCTTTCTTTCGTTCATTTTCTTTCTTTGTCTTTCATTCGTTTGTTCATTCTTTGTGTAATGATTGTAGCTCAGAGGTAGCGGGTCAAAAAATATTTCTGCGTCTACCATTCCCAGAATTGCAAAGCCAGCATGGCTAACTCTATAGATAACAACAACATGCTGTCAATGTATGGCAATCCTTTCCAGGGTTTTCTAGATAAACAGCATTCAGAAGTGGTTTGTTTACCAAGGTTCATAGATCTTACATACCAGGTTCCTATGCAATATTTTTCTTTGCAGCATCAGACTTTCCTTTCACTTTCAGGGGCGTCTGCAGCTGAGCGTCCTTTCGGCTTTGGCCCAACCACATCATTAGCTCTGGAGCGACTTGTCCTCCACTTTTCCTCAGTAGCATGTTGGACGCCTTTCGACCTGAGGGGCACATCTTCCGGTGTCATATCTTTTAGCCTTTTGTTTCTGTTCATAGGGTTTACTTGGCAAAGATACTGGAGTGGCATTGCCAGTCCCTGCTCCAGGTGGATCACATATAGTCAGAACTCTCCACTATGACCTGTCCGTCTTGGGTGTCCCTGCACGGCATAGCCCATAGCTTCTCTGAATTACTCAAGCCCCTTCGCCATGACAAGGCAGCAATCCGTGAAGGGGCAGAAGTTATTTACCATCCTCTTTTTCTTGGGGTGCCTTGGGAGTGTGCAGCTTGCCCAAGGCCACCCAGGTTGGCTGTACATAAAGGAGGCCCAGTGGGGGAATTGAACTCTCAACTTCCAGCTCCACAGTCAGATGCCTAACTCCCTGAGCAATCCAGCCAGCTTTGCCCCTTGTGACCAGTAGACATATCAGATAGATGTATAAAAAGAAACATTTCCAAACAGATATGCCTCTGTGAGGAAGTTTTAGTCTCTCTTCATAATCCCTGGCAAGCTCCCGTTTCGTGAATCACTGTGCCCTTTCGTCCAGGAAACCGAGGCAATGATAAAAGGCCTTCCAAAGAAGTGATACAAGCATGTCAATGTAATGCAGGAGGTAATTTCTCCTTCATTGTGATCCCACGGGGGGGAATTGCCCTGAAGTAGACCCTTCCTGAAGATGGCTTCACTGCTTCTGATTCTCATGGCGAGGGCTGCAGCTGTTCTTCTGCATCTCGGAAGAATTAGGGGTCTGGAATCCTGCCCAAAGAAACCTCATGGAATGGAAATGAGAAAATCACTTCCCACAGCGCACAAGACAAATATGTGCCTACTAAATTTGGATTTTGAGGATTTTTGGACTACAAATCCCCTCATTCTCCCTTCTGGGTGTAGATTCACAGGGCCAAAAAGACACTTCTAAGTCTTCCACTCCCAGAATCCCTGAGCCACCATGGCTCATTCTTTTTAAGCAACAACAACATGCGGTCGCTGTATGGCAACCCTTTCCAAGGTTTTGTGTCTAGCGAATGCTCAGAAGTGGTTTCACAGTCCCTTCTTCTGGGAGTTGCCATGAGACTCTGCAGCTTGCCCAAGGCTACCCAGGCTGGCTTTTCTGGGAGGCACATGTGGAAGCGTACCCCCCACCTCCTCTAGTCAACGTCATAAAGCTCCTACAGCACCAGAAACATCTGGGAAAAGTGAACCACAGTCTACAAAATGGAGGTGAAATAAAACCTGTTAAGCCTTTATCAGACCCCTTGTTCCAGTCTCGGGTGGGGGGGAAGTGACTTTTCCAAGCACTGACCTGGGATCTGATTATGCTCTTTGTCTGTTGCTATCTTCACTCCCATAGATCAAGCTTTGATATTTGTAGATCTCAAACCAAATGAAATGGAGTCCAGTCCTAGGGACTGATATAGCCTCCCAGGGTTCAGGCTGGTAAAGGGATTTGAAGGTAGGGGTCATCCTGGAGGATCTCTTTCCCTGTGATCAGACTACGATAAAGGTTCGTGCCTGATGGTGCTGGAAACGGATGCTCCTCTGGGAGCGAGCGCCTTGAAAATGACCCTTCCGTACACGCAAGAAGGGCCAGACTGGTTTGTGATCAATTGTGCATCATGTGATTTCCAGAAAACAGCTTGCCAGAAGCGGTTCAAAATGTTAAACTCGCTCTCAAACAGGTTGTACCTCCGGTGTCCAAACAAGCGTGTCTAATTTTCTCAGCTGCTTAACACTTTCTGTTTTGCCATTATAAGTAGCTAACAAAATGCACGGCTGGAGAGGGAGGAGGTTGCATGATGACCAGCATTCTGCTTCCCCCCCCCTTTTTTTAAAAAAGCTTTGTTGGCTGGTTTATTGGTTTCCTCTAACACCCAGTCTGGAGAAGAGGCCTCCTTACTTGCTTTGTGACCTTCAAGAGGTTCTGCTTTCCTTGAAGACTTTTTTTTCTTTTTCAGCATATTTATGGGATTTTAGAACATGCGGAGAAGGAGGAAGGGCTGGTACTGCCTGGGGCTATTGCATCTCACCTAACCACATCCACCAGCCCCACCCAGGTCTTCCCCTGGCCCTCAGCAGAAACAATGCAAACAACCATCAGCAGTAACCAGGGGAAACGTCAACACAATGCAAACAGAGGAGGTCCCTCCATTGCTGATGAAAAAAGACTCACCCAGTTTCTTAATCCCACAAATCAGGATATTGGCTGATAGCCAAAGTCAATGGCCTGGCTACATATTACACTCACCATTCTGCCTGTTAAGAATGCGGAGGTTCTGTCAGTCACAGGCACGGGGGGGGGGGGACACTGCCTCTTAAAACTGGAAAGGGAATTCACATTAAATGAGGGAATTCACATTAACTGAGGCCACCTTGCATTGGCTGCC